GAACCCCCCCCCCCCCCCCCCCTTCCCCTGCCCTGGCGCCAAAACCAGATTGCTATGCTGCCTCCTCCACTCTGGCAATTGCGGGATTTGGAACATCCCTAAAATAGGCAACGCGACCAGCACCCAGCGGCCCCAGAAAAGAGCAAAATAAAACGACCCGCCTGGTCAGTTTCTCACCACCCCTCCCCGCCTGGTTCGTAGCTGCACCTCTTGTTTTTCCCAAATCCGTCCACTCGGCGAGCCAATCAGCCAATCAGGTTTCCTCAAAGGTCGGCTTGCCGTCCAAAAGCGGATAAAATGGACGTACCCCAAGCAACGATCGACTAGGACCATATGTATCTACTGGCAAAAGTCGGTGCAGTGGGCTCGGCGGCGTGATACTCTTGATCCTTGTGGATAGTCATACTGAGCTCCTGTCTCCCAGTTAGTCCATCCGTGGCTCATCCGAGGAGCTTGGGACAGGGTACTTTGTGTAGTCGTTTCAATTGCTGCCAGGTCGTGTCTGTCTCTAACTTTGTCGGGAAGCTGTCGCCGTCACGGGGACGCTTCTTTTTCTCGTACGAGAGGGATTATTTTGGTTCTTCCTCCCCCTCCGCTCGAGTTTACCGACCGATATCTGGGATTGGGAGCCTAGATTCGGTACCTGGATTTTGGGCCTGAATTCACACAACTGTGCATACATGCATACATACATACACACCTGGCCGAATCTTGACTCCCTGTTGTTTCGTGGTCCCTGGGCCAAAGTGGGAGCCGTGCCGGGATTGGCGCACGTCTTCCTTCAACTCGCATACAGCGGCGTCCGTGTATGGTCAACCAGCCGGGTACTGGTACTCCGTACAGTCTGTCGCTCGTCGGCCACCATGGACCAGACACGTCAGTCGTAATAATGCAGCAGAATCGTGTCAAAATATATCGGCCAGTTGTTGCAGTACGCGCCTACTGCCGGCCATGGCATTGCGCAGAGTATTAGTCTCTGGCGTCTCCAGGGAGCCAGCCTCCCCGAGTGGCACACGTAGGCGCGCATACATGTCTGAACAGTCGATGCCGTCGTCGTTGATGCTCTTGATCCGTATTCTGACTAGGCCCAAACAGTTGCCGTCTCCGCGTCATACGCTGGCTTTCTCTGCCTTCGCCCATTCGATGCTCCGTCTACATTACTTGCCTGCACAGATCAGATCTTAATTTCTCTCGGTCGCACAACGCATGCACCCAACGTCTGCTGAACCTCGACTCGTTGCCCAGGTTGGGTCCTGTTTGTCTTGTTTGCCTATGCACTCTGTCGTCAGTGTGTTGTCAGTCAATACTGTTGGGAGCTGAAGTGCAGAACAGACCAATTCAATCCAATTCAAATCAACATCCCGGTCCGCACCCCTGCAGTGTGACAACCCCAATGCGCCTTCATATTGCAGGACTGTTTACCAGACCCTCGTCCCTCCCAAAACAGCCCACATTGTCCATCTTGACAAAGCCCATCCAAGGTCTAGTAATCCAGTATGCAAGCTGCGCAGCTCGGCACATCATGTTACGTGCATATGGCTGAAGCCACTCTCATTACACTGAGCAAGTCAATACGCACGGAAATATGCAACTGTGCTCCAGAGACAATCGATCCATATTGATCATGATGTATGACGATGATGGTTTTGCCAAATATATTTGTTCGTTACTGGACTTCCTAGCAGTCCTTCGTTATGATGCAGATCCCCAAAATATCACACACATACACACACACACGCACAAAAAAAGATCCATCTACTCCAAAAATAAATGCTCTCCAAAAAAAAAAAAAAAAAAAAAAAAAAAAAAGAGGGGGG